TCCTGGGCTGTTCGAGCACAACCTCTGGCATATAAACTGCTCCTTGGATTGTGCAACCAAATTACACTAGCCAATATCTCTGGTCCCAGACACAACCCTAGGAACCTCCGCCTTACAGTGTCCAGTTATGCCCGCTGGACGCTGCAAACATATATGAGTTTGTCAATTTAACAAAGAAATTGATATGCACCAGGCTTGTTAACCCAAGGGGAGTCTCCGACATGCTTCAAACCAAATGCACTGCTTCAGGTAGAATAAACAAACAGATTTATTAACTACAAAGATATAATCACTTAAAATCTAAGTCAAAGCACAATAAGTCGGATTTGGTCAAATGAAATAAAACCAAACCGCATTCTAAGCTGATCTTAACACTTTTAATGCCCTTACAAACTTAGATGCTTCTCACCTCAGGCTGGCTGGTTGCCCTACAGCCAGGCTCTCCCCTTTGATCAGCGCTTCAGTCGCTTGGTAGTGATGTTTGTACATGGAGGTGGAGGAGAGAGGAAGAGCATGGCAAATGTCTCTCCCTTTTATCATGTCCTTTCTTCCCTCTTGGCTTTGCCCCTGCCCTTCAGGTGGTCATTACCTCATCGCAGTCCCAAACTGACCAAGGGAAGGGGGGTGACTCACTCAAGAGTCCAACAGACCCTTTGTTGTTGCCTAGGCCAGTGTCCTTCGTTCCTGTGAGGATGGGCTGGGGTTTGTCCCATACATGCCCTGATGAGGTATGAACTGCCCCTCTGCTTCTGGAGAGTTTTTGCCTGGGCTTATTTTAAGCCATGAAGACGCATTTTCAGCCTCATTACTATATACATGAAATTACAGCCTATAACATTACTGTAACAACAATTAATATAACATCACTATAAAAACAATGCTCAGTGCATCATAAGCCTTCCGAAGACACCCAACCTGACAAACTTTGCATTGGATACCACACAATCATTTTACAAGGATGAACATGGGAGTGCTGGGTGTTCTCCCGAGGTACAAAGCGTCACACCTACCGATCCAGATCAATATCTTCAACTACTCATAAGGGACAGAATAAGGGCAGAGGGAAAATCTTCCCACAGATAGACACACACTCTTCTCCGGCAGTGTCCTTACTCCAGACCCATCAGTTGTGTCTTTCCCTGGTGTCAGAACATGCATGACCTGAGTGGCAGGGCAAGAACCAGAAGCAGGGACCAACCCCAGTCTGATATAGACGCAGCCTCCAGAGGTGGCAGCAGGAAAGAGGAATCATAGAAACACAGATGCTCTCACCTTACGCTAACAGCAAGAGAGAGGATCGTACATTAGAACCCCCTGAAATTCTTTTGATTTTCTACAATTGTTTTGTTTTCAGGAATTTCTTGTTATTTCATCTTATCTATTCCCCCCGCCCCACGGCTCGAGTCCAGCGCCAGGGAGGTGGGAGACCTAGGGAGCAGGTGTCAAGTCCAGCCCCTGGGGAGGTGGGAGACCAAGGGAGAGGGGCAGAGGGTATTGGGTACTGCCCTTGGGGATGTGGGAGACACTGGGGAGAGGGGCAGAGGGTGTTGAGTCCAGCCCCCAGGGAGGTGGGAGACCCAGGGAGTGAGGAGGGGGTGTCAGGTCCTGCCCCCAGGGAGGGGGGAGACCCCAGGAGGAATGGTAGAGGGTGTTGGGTCCTGCCCCAGGGAAGGGGGAGACCCTGGGGGCGGGTTGCAGAGCAAGCCCATCCCACGCTCATCCAGCAGCAGTGTCTCCTGTCCTGGGTGCTGGGCCCAGCTTCCCACCTCGGGGTCACAGTGCTGCTCAGGTTTGGCCCGGTTGCTCCTCTGCGGTGATGATGGGGGGACTGGGCAGGACAAATTTGAGTGAGTGGTACTGTGACCCTATGCACCAGGTTACAATGCCATTCACTCATATTTGGACCAGTGAGCTACTTCATCAGGGGGCCAGACAAACCCGAGAAACGCTATGACCGTGTACCAGAACGCAACAGCCAGAGCAGGGAGACAGAACGCAGGGAGACAGAACGCAACAGCCCCTCGAGACAGGAGCCGCTGCTGTAGGGTGTTTCATGTTATGGGTATTTTAATGTTTTTTCATTTTATTTCGCGTTAACAAAAAACACAGAGCTCCAATTATACCCTCCCTCTTGGCAACAGGTCACCTTGTGCCCCTTGCACTCCACATAACAAGCAGATAAAATAACTGGAGCTGCCAGCAAGCCCAATGGGAGCAAATAAACCTGGTCACAACTCAGTAGTTCAGTGGTTTAACCAAGGGTGAAAATGAACAGCTCAGATTGTCAGGAAGAACAGTTGGTTATCAGATTTCTTTCTATGGCTCCTGACCGACGATCAGTGTAACCCCAGAGGACTTTCAGAACTTACAAGGAAACAATCTCACTAGCAAGCTAAATATTTCTCCTGTGTTCACCGCTGTGGTATCTGGGCGCTAATGGTATTTAGAGAAAGACTCAGTCCAACAGCTCAGTCCCCTGGGTCTCAAGGAATAAGTTTGTTCAGCCCTTAAAGTGTGCAAAACAGATTTTTCAAATACATGGGACATGGGTCCCTGTTCCAGCAGCCCCCTATTCCTTCAGTCTCTGAACTCTTAGAACAATGCTCCTACTACTATCCTTTTTTGCCAGAGCATGTGTTCCCAGCTGGAATGAAGAGTGAGACTGAGATTTTCCTCTTGGTGTAAAAAGACCAAAGCCGACTTGGAGCACCTGTCACACATGCTGGGTCAGAACAACCAGCCTGATCTTTGATCAGTTGATAAATAAATATACTGCAGGGGAAATGACAAATCCTGGCTGGGTGCCCCGGCACACACACACAGCTCAGCTGAGCGAGGGTCACTGTGGAACTCCACGTATCAAGTCAGCTACAGATTATAATCTGTAATTACAGGTGACGTTGTCAGGATCTCAGCAGAGATCCCTCCACAGAGCATGGCAGTTCTGAAGCATGTTCATTGTTTTTACATTGCTTGAAGAATTCAGTAGGCGGCTATTAAGAAGCCCTCTGCAGACTCTGCTCTCCCTATCTTCTTCCTCTGGGACATAGAGCCTCAGGAAAAATCATTACATGCTGATCTTTTGGGCTTATGGCCAGTGAAGTGCCACCAATATTTTAATAAGGGACTCCCATAAAGATCCTTCTGAAATAAGCCCCGTGCCATGTCCAGGAGTGTGTGTATTTGCAGGGGAAAGAATGGGGAAATCTTTTCATTTCCCCATTTGGACAAAAATGCTTTTTGAAAAGTAAAGTGGGAGAAAGCAGCACTGGGCAAACAAATGAATCTGATGGGCCTTTGCTGGAAGTGATTACACTTTGCTTCTGGAATCTCCCCTGAGTCTATTGACAGTATTTGATTTAACAGTGATCAGATCATGACATTTGAAGTGAAAAGTCAGGTGAGACCCTGTGAATGGGACCAAGGGAGGAGAATTCAATTCTCTCTACTGGAACTTTTTTTTAAATTATACCTGAAATGTGGTACAATCAGATTCATTCACTGATTTGCTCTTCAGAAGTAACATTGAATCACAGGAATAAGGCATATTCAGCAGGGATGACTAAATCTTAGTATCAGAGGGGTAGCCGTGTTAGTCTGAATCTGTAAAAAGCAACAGAGGGTCCTGTGGCACCTTTAAGACTAACAGTCTAAAGGTGCCACAGGACCCTCTGTTGCTTTTTAAATCTTAGTAGTATCCAGACTGGATGCAATTCCAGCAGAGGCAGTAAATCAGGTTAGGGGGGTAGGATTCATCATGTAATGCTCTACATGCTTCCGTGGCACTACGTGGTGTGCCAGCTAGACCGGAGTCACCCACACACCCAGCTTCCTTCTCAAACCCATGACACACTCCTGCTGGACAGGAAGGACATTATATAGTTCTGTGTATGAGGCAGTTGCAAAATAGATATTCACATATTATTATATATATATATATATATATATATATATATATATATATATATATATAATATATTCAAAGCAGACAATGTCAAACCATGCATATTGCACCACACTCATGGTCTGAACTATGTAAAATCTGGGACACTACCTAGTCACCGAAGACATGTGCCAGTCCAATAGTTAGTGTTTGGTTTTAGTGATCCTCTGCTTTTAATATTCATACAGCATGAATTGCCTTCCAAAGCTATGTTGTACTGTTGCTAGTGCATTTATTTCATGCAATGTGCATCAGTGAGGCATTCTGGTGCAAGCGTGAATAAGTGATTTCCCTGATCTGGTTTCAGAAGTTAGAAAAAAATTATTTTCTTTTCAAGTGTGAACTGGCTGCAGGTGAAGAATGTTACAGCTTGCAGGAATGTCAATCACGACCACCTCATTGACCTGCCTTGGCATTAAAGTGCTTAGAAGCGTTTGCTCCATCCTTGTGCAAAGAAGCAAAGTCTCTGTCGAGCATGTCTTATTGGGGAAGCTCATTGCCTTACTATGGATCAACAAAACCAGAGGTAGAAAAATCAGAGGCAGAGCTATGAGATAAGGCCCAACACATGATTGCGCCCTTTGACACATTTTCTAGTTTTTTTTCCAGTCTAATTTTAAATATCGCAAGCAATAGGACTCCCATTTCTTTCCCTGGAAACAATATCGCAGCCCAATACAGCCCAGAATCTGAGATTTTCCTGATATTTCAGTCTAAATTGTCCTTCTCAATATCATCCTGTTCTTGCATGTACCATGCTCAATAATCCCTCTCCCTCTTTAGGATTAGTGGAGCTATGTTTCTCTCTAAGCAATATCATAGCCAAGCTAAGTACATTTCCTGGCAAATATACAAACCATATTTTCCCCAGATGAATCTCTGCCTGTTATTTCTAATGGCGCCAGGTTTCTCTGTATTTCTCTGTCCTCAGTGGAGGTTGCAGCTCTTCCCAATTTAGTGTCACCTGTGAGTTTCATTACTTCTCCACCCCCCAACTTTAATGGGGACACCATAGGTTCCAAGCATTTGGGGATGAGTGGCCTGGTTCCCAGGTTACCTGGTTCCCAAAGACAGCGATGGAGCAGGCAGTAGAGACCTCATGGGACCCGAACCAGACGGAGGCGATACGCGAGGGCATGCCCAGAATGAAGACCTGTGCCACTGAGCAGATGACCTGCCCTAGGACGGTGACAGGGAAGAGGTGCGGCTTCATGCTGCCCAGCTTCACCCAGGCGCCTAGACAGTTGAAGGCTGAACCGGCGAGGGCGATGAGGCGCAGGCCCCGCTTGTCCAGCAGCCAGGCCACAGGGAAAAGAAGGGGGATGTAGGTGAGCATGTAGCACATGGAGAGCCAGTCGATGTCGAAGGTGCTCACGCCGTAGAAGTGCACGAAGATGTTGTTGATGCTGCCGTACTGGATCCACTGGAAGGCATTGCAGAGCGAGTAGCAGCTGAACAGCAGCACCACGGCCCAGCGGCGCAGGGACAGGCGCACCTCGGGGGGCCCCCCGGGGACAGGCCCATTGGGGGTCTCGGCTTCCACTGACCCAGGCACTGGCTTCACCCCCTGCAAGAGCTCAGGCGTCTCTTGATACACCAGCCCCTTCTCGCCTGGCTCCGGTCCCCCGCTCACCACGGCCCCCTGGGAAAACGCCGGGCAACACGGGCTCCCCATCCCCTGGGCAGCGCTGTCCCGCATCGTGTGCCCGGCCCCTGCCTGCCCCCACCCCGCTCCTTATGGGGTCGCCGGCCTCTGCCCCGCGCCCGGCTGCTTCCCTCTCCCTCACTCCTCTGAAACTGTCACTGTCAGCAGAACGCCATTCCCACCGGCAACGTCGTGCTAATTGGCTCACACCCCGGTGCTGTGATTGGACCCGGCCAATGGGACCTCGCCCCGCCACTCTGACTGGCTGAGATGATCCCTGCTGCGCTCCGCCCCTCCATTGGCATGGAAACCAGGCCACGCCTTCCCGTGCGCCATTGGCTCAGTGCTGGTGACCCGCGGATGCGTTGGCCAGACAGGGGCTTCTGCAGCGGAGGCTGCCCCTGCAGCACCGGGCTCTACAGGGTCCCCTCACTCCCCCAGCCGGGCCCCAACGGACACTCCCGGGAAAAGTCCAAAGAACCTAAAGGACCTGACCTTCGGTCCCGGAGACGTGGGGAAATTGCGCACGCCCCAAGGGTCACATCCTGGGGTCCATAATAAACCCATCGGGGGCTGCAGGCTGGCTAAGGGGCAGGTCAAAGGAAGGCTCTGGAAAGACACTGCTAGAGATACACAACCCACCAATAAAACTATTTCTACAGCAATGGGCAGCACCACCCGACCCACTGCAGTGCAGGGCAGTGAAGCCTGGGGCTCAGCTTTACCAGCTACTTACACTGATTGTGATAAAAAAAAATCCTATAAAATCCTCCCTCCTGCAGTTCAGAAAATAATCACTCTGCCTGCAGAGGAACACCAGCAACAATGGCTGCATAGCCGAACTGGGTCACCTCCCCATCCATCTGGTGCCATCTCAACTAAAGCCACGGCTGAGCACCAGCGATTCAAACTAAACCCAAAGGCAAACGTACATTACTCTTAGGTCTGGGCACTTCTAAGCTCCTGATCAGTAGGCGCAAATAACCTCATCCAAAGCCAACTGATGCTCAAGATTTGTTAGTCTCTAAGGTGCCACAAGTACTCCTGTTCTTTTTTCAAGATACTCTAACACTTAAACACAGTAGACCAGCCATAGTCAATAGGTGGACCGCAGGCCAAATCTGGACCACCAGATGCTTTTGAACGGACCTCAACATGGTTTTTTTATTTACTTATTATTATTGTTGTTAATTTTTTTTTTATTATTTTCTCTGGAGTCTGGCCCTTGACTATACCTTGACCAAGAAATTTGGACCTTGACAAAAAAAATTGACTACCCCTGCACAGGAGAGCCTTATGCAGAATGATCACACTACTAGATACTTCTGCATATTATGCTATGGTGACATAAGACAGACTTTCACCAAATACAATATCAGAGACCATAAACTAGGAGTGGAAAGTGGAAGATACAAGGCATAACTCAAGACAATAATGACTGCAAACAAAGTGAGATAAGAAAAACTGAGGCACACACACATCTTCTACTCTAATACCCAGTGCAAGAAAGATGTTTCAAACTGTCAGGAAATTTAAAAGGCTTTTAAATTAAAAGCAATGAGGAATAAGTGAAGAAACAGAGAGAGATAGCATTACACTATATAGCAAACTGAATCAGGTATGGGCAATAATGACACGAAGTCACATGGAAATCCAAATACACTGAAGCCTCATCTTGGCAGATGCTTGAGATATCCACCTCTAACAGAGCTCTCAGAGGGTTGGCTCTCTTACATATTTGTCACATTCATCATAGGTATCATGACAAAAAGTATTATTGAATTGGAATTTACTGAAGGAGATAAGCTAGAGGTTGCAACCTCTCCTGGACAAAGCTACCTCCTGACTGTGCAGAAGGGGAGCACAAAGAAAGGGAATTAGGAGGGCAGATTCTCCTAGTCCAGGCCCTACCCCCAAAAGAGAAAAGTTAAATAGGGATAGGAAGATTAGGCCAAGAGAACCTCCCCCATCCCACTCTGAATAATAGATTGGGGAGGGAAGGCCTGTTTAGAGCAGACTCTGGCTTCCCACTGCTGAAGGAAACAGAACTTCTCTTGAGGCAAGTCCATGAATATCAGACCAAACTCAGCACAAGTGCCAGGAAAACATCCTCTGTCTGTCTCATGTGTGAAAGAAGAAAGGATAAAAAACAAAGCATGAATGTGGCTTAATGTAGGTTGGATGGATTCCTTTATTTATGTTGATGGAAGAACATCAGTACAGGAAGGGCTGCCCAGTCATAACAATAACTCTGTCTTGGCTCAGCTCTGCAACAGCAAACCTGTGGCATTTGAGCTTCCACTTTCCTTACTCCAAATTGGGACATCCTAATGCAGTGCAATCTGGGACACCATACAACAGAGCTGGAATCCCTTGTGTGATGGCTGCCCCACTGCCTTGATGCTCCTGATGCAGGCTAGCTCTTCTAATCCTCAAGACATCATGCAACAAGTCACTAGCCAGAAGCTTTATCCCATTCAATACCAGTGCATGCAGGGTTTTGGAGTGAAGCTCCTGCCCTCCTGAGGCTAAGTTCCAATGTAGAGATGTTGGAGAAACATCTATGGAACCATATTTTGTCAGAATGCGCAGTTCCTTGATTCTAAATGCTTTGTCCAATTTACCCAATTTCACCTGAATTTGTTTTTGGACGGAACCTGAGTTCCAACAATGTCAGAGTGTCCCGTTTTGACATTTTCTGAATGAAACATTTTGATATTTTTTGTTTTGAAACAACTTTTTGATTTTGAATTTTTTTACTTTATATCTTATAATACAACAAAGCATTTTAAAAGTCAAAATCAAAACTTTTCAATCTTGTCCAGACAAAACATTTTGATCAACCCAAAATGATTTCTTTCTGAGTTTTCCTTCAGGGAGAATTTCTAAGTTTTGGGTTTTCATTCTGATTGAGAATAAAGCCATATTTCAAAATCTTGAAATCCTCCATGAAACAGAATTTCTGTCCTCCATACAGCTGTACTCCTATGGTATTTACAAACATTGTTCTGCCATAGTGCTCAAGTGGAGGCAAGTGGATTTCTTCAGGGTTGGCTTCTTTTAAAAAGGATTTGCAGTCAATATTGTCAGCTGCCATCACTGGGGACTAATAACCACCAGCACTAGGAACAAGTTGTTGATAGTTTATTGTCTATAGCTGGTTTATGACCTACAGCTGATTTTAATGATATTGTGTTATCTGTATTGTATAAACATTAAACATCATAAACCCTCCAACGTGGACTTGGCTATATGTTGGTTTAATTCCCTTCCAATATTGAACAAGCAGCTCAAAGTTCACCTGACGTATAAGGAAGTAATGGCCTATCTTTCAGGGAGCACATTCCTGAGCAAAGGAGTCAAGCAGCAGTATCAGAGGGTAAGATTTCTTGGGCTTGAATTTGCCCTGTGGAACATGCTCTTAGAGGTTAATAGTGCTCTACCTGAGAGTCCAACTTCTCTCTGGAATCCAGCCCTGTCACTCACAAGCACAGCAGAGTACTTGGCATTGGTTCTTTGGCTCCATTATATCCTCATTGACAAACACTCCTCAAGAGAGAAGAAAATCCACCTTAATCGTATGACTCTGACACAGCTCAATTCCTACCACGTACATTTGTCTTTTTTTACTCTAGATTTAGCTTTCTCTTCAGATGATTGGGCCGAAGTTTGATTCTCATGTAAGAGTAGGGTCACCAGACAGCAAGTGTGAAAAATTGGGACAGGGATGGGGGGGGGGGAGTAATAGGAGCCTATATAAGAAAAAGACCCCAAAATCGGGAGTGTCCCTATAAAATCGGGACATCTGGTCACCCTATGTAAGGGAAAGACAAACAATGCTCCCTAAGCCAGGCAAAAATGGTGCAGACCTTTCTACAACACAGCTCTGTCAAAGCACCTTGTTCCTGACCTGCAGCTCCACCTGCTGCCCCAGTCTTCAGCCCCACACAACTTTGCCAGTGCACCTCAAATGGCTGGTCTGCAGTTCCTATAATGATGATACAACATAATGTTAGTATCTTCGATACAAAAGTATTTCAAAATGCTTTACCGAAGTTAAATAACAGCCAAGGGAGAGAAAAATGCAGGGGCAAAGGTAAGGGAGAAAACAATGGTTTGTAGATGAGATTGAAATTCAGATTATTTTTAAAGTGTCTAAAGCTAGGCCAAACTCTGAACAGAGACAAAAAGGACAAGGGAACCTGCCCCACCACATTTACAGTCTGCATTTAGCTGTGATGCAATGGGTAATAAACTGCAAGGAGGATTTGGAGTGAGGTGGAGTATGGCAAGGATAATAGATCACCTTGTGATTACATTACTATCTACTCTATTGCAGTTCTATTCAAATTCTTCTAACATGTCACCAAAATAGTAATTAAAGGGAGAACAAGTCAATATAGGTTATCTGGACTTTCAAAAAGCCATTGGCAAAGTCCCCCACATGACTATTAAGGAAACTAAGTCGTGGAGTGGAAGGTAAAGCACTGTGATGGATTAAAGATGAGTTAAGAGAGAGAAGACAAAGAATAGAAATAAATGGCCAATTTGTAGCATGGCAAAAGATAAACAGTGAGGCAACATAAGATTTTATTATTAATGATCCTGAAGAGGAGATGTGCATTCAAGTAGCAAAATTTGCAAATGACAAATCCTGAGGAGGGATAGCTCAGTGGTTTGAGCATTGGCCTGCTAAACCCAGGATTGTAAATTCAATCCTTGCGGAGGCCATTTGGGGATTGGTCCTGCTTTGAGCAGGGAGTTGGACTAGATGAGGTCCCTTCCAACCCTGATATTCTATGATTATTTATGGGGGAGGGATAGCTCAGTGGTTTGAGCATTGGCCTGCTAAACCCAGGGTTGTGAGTTCAATCCTTGAGGGGGCCACTTAGGGATCTGGGGCAAAATCAGTACTTGGTCCTGCTAGTGAAGGCAGGGGGCTGGACTCAATGACCTTTCAAGGTCCCTTCCAGTTCTAGGAGATAGGATATCTCCATTAATTTATAATTTAATTTATAAAGTTATTTAGGTTAATCAAGGCCAGAAAAGACATGAGCAACATCAGAGGGACCTCAGAAAGCTAGAAAAATGGGCCACATGATGGCAGATAAAATTCAGTCATATAATCACAGCAATGTAGGGATGGGAGGA